TTTTCCATAGTGGCTGTACCAGTTTACTTGCTCACCAGCAGTACGTGAAAGTTCCTTTTTCTCAACAACCTCTCCAACACTTGTTATTACTTGTCTTGTGGATAGTAGCCTTTCTAACAGGTGTGAGGTGATATCTCATAGCTTTGGTTTGTATTTCCCTAATAGCTAGTGAAGCTGAGCATCTTTTCATATATCTTTTGGCCGTTTGTATGTCTTGGGAAAAGTGTCTGTTTAGGTTCTTCATACATTTAACTTTTTAAAATTGTTTTTCAAGTACAGTTTTCTTTTTTTTCACCCTGCCCCTCCTCACCACCCCAGACCTTTCCACCTCCCTCCCCTGTTTCCACCCCCCCCCTTGTTATTGTCCATGTATCCTCTGTAATTATTCCTACAAACCCTTCACCCTTTCCCCCTATAATCCCCTTGCCTATCCCCTCTGGTCACTGTCAGCCTGTTCTCAATTTCAGTGTCTTTGGTTATATTTTGCTTGCTTGTTCATTTTGTTGATTAGATTCCTGTTAAAGGTGAGATCATATGGTATTTGTCTTTTACCACCTGGTTTATAGTTTATTTGGTGTTGCGTTGTATGAGTTCTTTATATATTTTGGATATTAACTCCTTATCAGATGTATCAATGAATGTGTTCTCCCATTTGGTTGGTTGCCTTTTTGTTTTGTTGTCAGTTTGGTTTGCTCTGCAGAAGGCTTTTAGTTTCATATACTCCAATTTATTTATTTTTGCCTTTACTTCCTGTGCCTTTGGGGTCAAATTCGTAAAATCTTCTCTAAGACCAAGGTCCATTGGTTTAGAACCTATGTTTTCTTCTATGTAATTTATTGTTTCAGGTCTTATGTTTAGGTCTTTGATACATTTTGAATGAACTTTTGTACATGGGGACAAAATGTAGTTTACTTTTATTCTTTTGCGTGTGGCTTTCCAATGTTTCCAGAACCAATTATTGAAGAGGCTTTCTTTTTTCCATTGTATGTTCTTGGCTCCTTTGTCAAAAATTATTTTCCCATATACATGTTTTATTTCTGGTCTCTCAATTCTGTTGAATTGATCTGTGTGTTTTTCTACCAATGCTGTGCTATTTTGATTACTTTGCTCTGTAGTAAAATTTGAATTCATGTAGTGTGATACCTTCAGCTTTGTTCTATTTTCTAAAGATTGCTTTGGTTAGTTAGAGTCTTTGTGGTTTCATACAAATCTGATGATTTTTTTGCTCTATTTCTTTAAAAAATATCATTGGGGCTTTGATGGGGATTACAGTAAATATGTATAGTCCATTGGGTAATATGATTTTTTTGATTTTTAAAAATTAACCTATGTTTGACTTCTGGCCAAGATGGAGGCATAGGTAGCTACACTTTGCCTCCTCGCTCAACCAAAAGAAGGACAACAACAAATTTTTTTAAAAATTTTTATTTAGTTATTTTTCAAGTACATTTTTTGTCTATTTCTCCCATCCCAGCCCCCCCGCCCTGTCTCCCCCCTCTCTCCCATTCCCCCCCCCCCAGTCCTCATCCCTGTGTCTTTCATACTTGTTCCTCAAAATCCCTCCCCATTTTTCCCCTTAAATTCCCTTCTCTCTCCCCTCTGGTCGCTGCCCCCTTGTTCTCTATTTCAGTGTCTTTGTTTTTATTCTGCTTGCTTGTTTGTTTTATTGTTTAGCTTCCTGTCAAAGGTGAGATCATATGGTATTTGTCCTTCAATGCCTGGCCTATTTCACTCAGCATAATGCTTTCCAGTTCCATCCATGTGACAACAACAAATTTAAAAATAAAAAATAACCAGAACTTCCAGAAAATTGAACAGTATGGAAGTCCGACAACCAAGGTGTTAAAGAAGAAACATTCTTTCATACTGGTAGGAGAGGTGGGGACTGGCAGCTGAGGTGGAGAGGTTCTGCAAAAAGGTGGTAGTTGGCAGACTGGGTGATCATTTGCTTGTGGATGAACCAGGAGGAATAACTAGGGAGAGAGACAGATTGCACAATCCAGGGTTCCAACCCTGGAAAAGAAACGTTCAAAAACTCTGGCTGTAAAAACTTGTGGTGGTTGTGGTGGTGTGAGAAACTCCCAGCCTCACAGGAGAGTTCATTGGAGAGACCCGCAGAGTCCTAGAATGTACATAAACCCACCGACCCCAGAATCAGCACCAGAAGGCCCCAATTTGCTTGTAGGCAGTAGGGGAGGTGACTGAAAGCTGGCCCAGAGATGAGCAATTGGCATTGTTTCCCTCATACCCCCTCCCCACAGATGACACCACAGTGCAGTGACCTGGGTTGCCCTGCTCTGGTGAATACCTAAGGTTCTTCCCCTTACAACATAACAGGTGCACAGAGACAAAGAAACATGGCCCAAGTGAAACAACAGGTCAAAACTCCAGAAAAAGAACTAAGCAATGAGCAGATAGCCAACCTATCAGATTCAAAGTTCAAAATACAGGTTATCAGGATGCTTACAGAGATGGTTGGTATGGTCATAAAATAGAAGAAAAAGTGAAGCTTAGGCAAAGTGAAATAAAGAAAAATATACAGGGAACCAACAGTGAAGGGAAGGAAACCAGGACTCAAATCAATGATTTGGAACAAAAGGAAGAAATAAACATTCAACCAGAACATAATGAAGAAACAAGAATTCAAAAAAATGAGGAGAGGCTTAGGAACCTCTGGGAAAACTTTAAATGTTTCAACATGAGAATCATAGGGGTGTCATGAGGGAAAGAGGAAGAGCAACAAATTGAAAATTTATTTGAAAACATAATGGAGAACTTCTCCAACCTGGCAAAGGAAATAGACTTTTAGGAGGTCCAGAAAGGTCAGAAAGTCACAAAGAAGTTGGACCCAAGGAGGAACACACCAAGACACATCGTAGTTACATTACTCAAGATTAATGATAAGGAGATCATCTTAAAAGCAGTAAGAGAAAAGGAGAAAGTTACACTACAAAGGAGTTGCCATAAGACTGTCAGCTGATTTCTCAAAAGAGACCTTACAGGCAAGAAGGGGCTGGAAAGAACTATTCCAAGTCATGAAATCCAAAAACCTACAACCAATATTGCTCTATCCAGCAAAGCTTTCATTTAGAATGGAAGGACAGATAAAGTGCTTCCCAGATAAAGTCAAATTAAAGGAGTTCATTATTACCAAGCCCTTATTGTATGAAATGTTAAAGGGACTTATCTAAGAAAGAGATGATCAAAAATATGAAGAGTAAAATGACAACAAACTCACAGCTATCAGCAACTGAACGTAAAAACAGAACTAAAAACAAACAAAAAGAACAGGAACAGAATCACAGAAATGGAGGGTTATCAGTGGGGAGGGGGAGGGGATAGAATGGGGGAAAAGGTACAGGGAATAAGAAGCATAAATGGTAGGCAGAAAATAGACAGGGGAGGGCAAGAATAGTATAGAAAATGGAGAAGCCAAAGAACTTGCATGTATGGCCCATGGACATGAACTAAGGAGGGGGGATGCTGGTGGGAGGGGGTGTAGGGTGGAGGAGAATAAAGGAGAAAAGATATGAGACAACTATAATAGCATAGTCAAGAAAGTATACTTAAAAATAGAACTATGTTTATTGAAGTTTTACATTTCAAACCTATTCAAAGGCTGTTAAACTCACCTTAATTTTTTACCCTAATTAATATTTTAAAGGAGCTTTTTGGCCCTGGCTGGTGTGGCTCAGTGGATTGAGTGCTGGTCTGTGAATCAAAGGGTCAGCTGGTTCGATTCCCAGTTGGGGCACATGCCTGGGTTGTGGGCTATGTCTCCAGCAGAGGACACAAGAGAGGCAACCACATACTGATGTTTCTCTTTCTCTCTTCCTTCCCTCCTCTCTATAAATAAATAAATAAATAAATAAATAAATAAATAAACAAATAAATAAATAAATGGCTTTTTGTAACCCCTTTAATGAAATATTTTAAATTTTACTCAGTTTTTATTGTAAACTCTTTAACTGTTTAACTATTTGTTCCATTTTCTCAATTAGTTATTTTTATAACTAATTCTGCACCTTTCTGGAATTTAAGTATGTTCACGTATTAAGGAAATTACTTTGTTGTCCCAAGCAGGTTTGGAGTTTGTCATCTTAGCTGATTGAAGGAACATAAGAACCAGGGACATAAAGCCTAGAGCTGTAAACGCAGGACATTTCTCTAGTCCCGACTTCCTGTGATAAATAGGTTATGAACTCCAAAATTAAAAAAAAAAAAAACCAAAAACAAGACAATGGGGTGAAGGTGATCAGATAGTCTGTCCCTGATCTTGAGTCATATCACTTTATGTTTCAAATAGACAAGATTAACTCCTGCTTCATGAGTTTTCAGTAATTTTCATGCTTTTCCTATTTACTTGTTGGATATTTAATTGAATCTAACTGTAGTTTGTGCATTCACAGTTGTGTCTGCCTTTCTAAGTGGGCTCCAAGATTGTTCTTATCACAATGATATAGGCTGTTCATTGGAAATTGATCTAATTATTAAGGTAAAGTTTAAAGTGGACATTTTTATGTTAATAATATATTTTATTGAACTCAGTGCATTCAAAATAATTTTACTTATACATGTAATCACTATAAAATGAATAATGAGGTATCTTGCATTTTTAAAAAAATTTGGATCACTATTCTTTGTATTATTTTTAAGTTGGGGCATGATTGTCATATAACAGTAGTTTCAGGTGTGCAGCATAATGAACCAATAATTGTCTACACTGAAATGGTCACCACGATAAGCCTAGTTAATATCCCTTACCACATAGTTACAGGTTTTTCTTTTCTCATGCTGAGAACTTTAAAACATCTACTCTTAGCGACTTTAAAATCTATGATACAGTATTACAGTTACCAGGCTGCACATTACATTCCAGGACTTGCTTATTTTATGACTGGAGGTCTGTAACAAAACAGGCTTGTGTTAAGTATTCCACTAGCTCCTGTGTACAATCTCATTTTCCAGACGATCAACTTACATTGCTTTTCTCTCTACAGAAGGGCAGAAGCTCTCCAGATGTCTTCCGGGAATGACCAAGTTTTTGTCCCGATGTCACATACAAAAACCAGCAGCCTCCCCAGGATGACCCCCAATGACCTGACGACGTTTACTGAAGGGGCTGTGTTAAGTTTTCATAACCTCTGCTATCGAGTAAAAGTGAAGAGTGGCTTTCTACTTGGAAGGAAAACAACTGAGAAAGAAATACTGACGAATGTCAAGTATGTGCATGAATTTTGTTTAAGTAGCTTTAATGACATACTGTGAACTTAACGGGTGTTGCCTATTTTACAAGTGGAGGTGCTGAGAACACTCGTGTTAGGTGTCTGTACAGACACACACTTTCATTTCTTTCATCTCAGCTGGGAGGGAAATGGTTGGACCACATGTTAGGTATAAACTTAATTTGTAAAAGAATGAACAGACTGCTTTTAAAGTGGTTGTACCATGTGCATCTGAATAACTGATGTGTCATTTAGCCTTTGCTGGGTAAGCCCTGTGGTTTAGTGGAAAGAGGCCGGGCTGTGTGATTTACAACTTCCTGATTGTGGGGATACAAGTGTAATCTCTGAGCTTCAGTTTTCTAATCTGTGAAATAAAAGATCTGTCCTGTGCGCTATAAGCCAGACACTTCAGGTACTTCTGCACTATGTTCTAGAAGCAAGGGTCAGGAGGTTGAAATGACAATATACTGTGAGAGTACTTTGGTTTTCAAATAGACTTGTTTCAAATGAGTGGCCAGTTTACATACTCATTTAGCACCTGTAACAATTTGTCTAATGCTTTTCTCCACATATAGGCAGACAGAAGATAATTAAATAAAGAAAACTTTAGCATAAACTTAAGTTTATGCACTGAAAACTCAATGTGATAGAATTTAGGACCCAAATCAACGCAAAACTGATTCTCATTTTCTTCCTCGAGCAACAAATTCATCTCGTGGTGGTGGAGTGGGCCGTAGAGTGGGGAAGGAAATGAGAACAGAACCTACTTGGGAACCAGAGCTCTCTGTTCTTTCACCGATGCTAGTCATTAGGATTGTTCATGTTCTCCTGGTATCTAGAAAATTGAGCCTGATTTTCCCTCACTGTGGAGGGGAGAGTGCATCTAGGTTTGTTCAGACACCATGGCCTGTGTATTTTATTTAGTTAATTTGTTTGTTTGATAGGAGAAATAACCATTCCTAGGTAAAACAAGCACTTTTTCTAACTCTCTGAGACTGGAGGGTGGTTATAAAAGCTTTCACCAGGTATTGCCTCTAACCTATATTCAATCAGATGTTTCTCATATTTTCTTGGTACGTTCTATGGGACTGTAATCTTTTTTTTTTTTAATGTTAGTAGCAGCCAACTGCTCCTAGAAGGCTAGGAAATGATGAATAGTGGAGAAATTTTTTGCATTTGGGTAGGGAAGGAAAAATGGGGCTGTGAGATTGTCTGAGTGGTGGTGAGGTCAGGGGCTGTGTCGAATTAGATAGAATTTGCTTTCTGTAACAACACCTTTGGTCATACCTACTTCCTTCCTGCTGTCTTGTATTGGTTAAGATACCCTGACAGGGTAAATAGAAAGAGAGATAGTAGATACGAAGTTTTATGTCTTGCTAAATCCCTAGATAGAATTTACTTGATTTCTGGTTTAGGCATCCATTTTGAAAGCTGACAAGGTTTTTTTGTGTAAAGTAATAGTCAGAAAAATGTTGGTTACATCAGATCTTGTGCTAAGTGGAAGTAATAATGATTTGAATATGGGCAGGTGAGTAGATTTAAAATGCATAGTGGGTGAGTGTACATTTATTTTGCCTACATTTTAAAGCTAGTGGATTAGTAACTAATACACTAAAATTGTCATATGCTCAAGGCTTCATAATGTTTTTAGGGTTTAATGGTATCCATTGCAGCAATAGATGAGTTAGCTTTATGTGCATTCCTGCATCCATAAAAACTCAGTATTTATATAATCTTTTTATGGTTTAATTACTGTTGACATACAACATTCTGTTAGGTCCAGGTTTACAACATAGTGATTAGACATTTATATACCTTAAGAAGTGATTGCCCAGTAAGTCTTGGAGGACACCAGTGCTATCTTATTTACTCACATTTCTGGTTTAGGCATCTGTCACAAAGGTTGCCCCTTTTATTTGACATAGCATTTCTAATTTTTCTCCTATTTGCTGGCTTCAACTAAACAGAGCTACTGAGATGAGAGAAAGGTTGTTTTCATTCATCTCCCTTTTGACTTGCTTTTGATAGCACTGCCACTGTTGACAATAGTCACCGTATTCTAAGAAAGCAGATGAGCAGCTTGATTTTGTTTTTCCTGTGGACATTCTGTAATTTCATTTTTGAACTAGAACCTGATGTGCCCTGTGGGGGGAAGAAAATAAAATCTGACACTGAGAATTGAAAAAAGTGAGATTATACTATCTTATGAAAAATTATTCTATTATGCTTAGTTTGTACTTAAACCTAGTACATCAGTATTTCCTCATTAATGCTAAAGATCTATGCACAAAATGGTCCATTCCAGTAGGAATGTATATCATATAATCCTCAGGGAAATTCATTGTACTATTCAGAGATTTTTTAAATTAATAATTTATATCAAGTAATTTCAAACTTATCCCTTGTGGGAACATAACCCTTTTACCCAGATTTCCCACCTGGTTACCTTTCACTGTATCTCTTTAGAGAACCCATTATCATTAGTATTTTTTTGGCACCATTTGAGTGTAAGCTACTCATATGGTACTCTAACATTCCTAACTTTTCCAGTGTATATTTTTCAGAAACAAGGGCCCTCTCCTCTATCACCACTCAGTCATTGTCTGGGAGCAGCCCAGGGGATGCAAAGCCCGTAACAGGTGCAGTGGTGGGTCCTAGGGGGCTGTTGGTCACCATGCTCTTCATGTAGTAGACTGACCATCGCATCGTGTCTCCTTAGTCTCATCCAACCAGGTACTTTCCTGTCTCGCCCTAAGGGATGTTCACCTTCATTACCCCGTCATGCTGGTGTCTGCCAGCCTTCACCACGATGTCTCCATTTCCCTCTTTGTAATTAATGAGTATTATTAGGGAAGTTACCCTGACATCACTCCAAACCTTATTCTTCATAAAACCTGAACCCACCTACTTCAGCCCCCACTAAGGTCTCTTGCGTGAATCAGGAATAAATATCACTGTGATCGTTACCAAAGTGTGATTTCTATTTTTATATAAACTGGTTTGCATTCTACTAAGAGGAAAGAGCTTCATTTGTCACTTTCATTCATTTATTTATATCAGCATAGACTCACAGATTCACATTTTACCCAGTAGCCCTCAATACTAATGCATTATTACCATTATTTATTTTGATACTCCTGTTGTTTCAGATTTGGTCACTGGGAGACCTTTCAAGGGAGGTTTGTTTTTTTTTAAACTCATCCTTTCATCTCTTGGGTATTTTGTTGTCACAGCAGAGGATCCAGACTCACTGTGTGCTCACCCCACCTCAGACCTGGAATGAGCTGATGTTCCTTTCTGTGGGGTGTTGTATTTACAAAGCAAGATGTGGTGTTTGGAATGCTCATGGCTGTTGGGATGTCACAGCCCCTAGGCCTTCTCAGGGGACAGACGCAGGGAACATATGTACATACACAGGTACACACACATCTGAACCTTTTTATGTCTGTGTACATAGATTAAAACCCATGAGTTCTAATTTTGATCTGATACTCCAGGATTATTTCTACATTTCCACATTTGTAAAACATCTCAAAACCCCAAAAATCTGCCTCTCATTATTCTAACATTATTGCTGATTTTCCCAATGAATTTTCTTATTCTATACTATAAGCAGCCTGGCCACCCTCCAGCTGTGTCCTCTCTTCCCCCACCTCCCTTTGCAACCTGTGACTTTGCGTGCTGGCCATCGCTGCTCCTCCTCCCAGCATGTCCACCACCTTCACACAAAGAAGGAAAGAAAGGGAAGTAATAGAAGTGACTGATGTATATTCGGAACATGATTTATGTAGGAGTGTAACTAAGTGTTCTTTCCAGTCAGGCTATGCCTATTTTCCACAAGTTTTTTTTGTGCTTCTTGATACTTGTTTTTATTGAAAACATTCGACTTTCCTATAAGTAGATGTCGTTTATTAAAATGTGGAGACTCATTTATTCACCAAATTTGAATGTCTACTAGGAGCCTGACATTGTGCCCGGTTCTAGTGACAGAGGTATGCCCTCTCTTCTCAGCAATCTCCTAGTCCAATGGAGGATTCAGACAATGCAAAGACTGCACTGTGTTGTTCTACTGGGATGGAGGGGCTGGAAGACATGGAAGACCCTAACCCTAAACTGGAGCACCAGGGGAGGGGGAGGGAGAAAGGAAAGCCACCAGTGTGTGTGCTCAGGACAGGGCGGGGAAAGACAATGCTCTAGGCTATAGGGAGGACATTGCTTTCTCAGTATTAAATGAGTTTACTATTATTCACGAAAATGCAGTAGACAAGAGAAGAATCCTGTAGCTAGTTTTTATTTCATGTATTTAGTTTTCATTATAGAGCATGTGGTGCATGCTCTGGGGGTTGGGGGATGAGGAAGATGACATTGTTGGTAAGGTTCGACAATAGATTGAGGGAGACTTTCATGCATGTAAATGCTATAAAGCAATAAATAGGGGTGGGGAATGCACTGTGAGTGAAAGTGGGGTGAGCCAACAAGGGAATTGTAGACTTTGGATTATGACAGAGGTCAGCAAACGCCCTGATAGTAAATTATTTTCATTTGTGTAATACTACTTACCTCTGGCATTGTAGCATCAAAGCACTTCATTTTTGAAAACAGAAAACTTGACCACCTGTGGTTTGCTGATCCCTGGACTTGAATGCAAAGTCCACGAGGGCTACCACTCTAATTCTCAGCTGTGACCCATGTACACACACAGTAGACACTGAATAATTGTGCTGAGTGAATGGAGGGGCAATTAGCCACGGCTCCATCCTGAAACTCTTGTGGTTATGATCATCCATTACTGTTTTCCTTAATGCTAGAGTGAAGCACCAGAGGAAGCCCAGCTCAGGGACCTGTAAAATGCTTTGTCTTTGAATTGTTTTCCTTACACCAGCTTTTCACAGTCAGTTTTGGGTTAATCATTTAGGGATGGTGAGCCTTTTTCTGAGTAGATATTTAAAAAGCCTGGAAAGGTTTTCTGGCAATGAAGTCTCAGTGAACAACAAGCTTATCTGTGGTTACTTTAGAAACAGTTACGAGGTAGCTATTACTGCAGAAGGTACATTAAGAACTATAGATAAATGCACCTCAAAAGTTCACTCAACCATTAGCGTGTCTTATTGCATCAGGGGAAGAGGCCACTGAAAGAATAAGATAGTTTTCTTTTTTACAGCTCGTGCCTGATTCACGTAACTCCTTGTATTTGTCCAGTGTTTCAGTGAGAGGCGCCTCAGTTAGTGAGCCAAGTAGAAGTTTCCTTTCCCCATGGCCACGTTCGGCTGTTACACTCTGCCAGCTGCAGCACAACAGGCAGTAAATGCTGAGTCCTCCCGGATGGAAGTGCTGTGCACAGCTGCACAGTGAGGGTGATCACTCACGACTGTTGTGTGTCACAGAATTTGCCTCAGTGATAGTTGTTATCTGGGAATGAAATAGCCTTCTGCTTTGCACCTTCCACTGCAGTAGATACTGTGCTCTCTGGGAAATAAAGTGGATTTACCTACCAATTCCACAGTGAGAGGCTTAGGCACCAGGGTCTCGAAAGGACTTCCTCAGCCCTCCATTCAGTCTTCAAGCCTGTGTAACTTCAGGGGCCTGACATTCGTTCTCCTTGCCCCAGTGTGTTCTCCCTACCATTCTACTGGTTGCCTTCATGGTAAAACTCACACTACATTTTTTGTGTTCTTCTTCAGTCTCAGCACAGTCAACTATGACCTATTTTTTATACCTTCTTGCTCCGTGTCTGAATACCCTCTACCCTCAAACATCCATGTAATTTCTTTGGAACATACAGTGTCTACATCATGTCTATACGTCCTTAAATGTCTTCCCCAGTGGAACATGGCATCTCCCACTTCTAACCCAACAGTTTTCCAGTCTATCTGAACCTTTAGAAGAAAGAAAGTGATGTATTTTAGGGCATGTGTTTTACTTTGACAGATGAATTAAGAATTTTGTCAGGGTTTAAGAACTAGTGAGGTTTTCTTTTTACTACCTGGGGTACTTTTTTCTAGTTGCTAAATTTCACTGCAGATACACTGTTTCTTGGTCGGACTAGATTTGAGCAGTGAGAGCATTAATGCTGACGATTCTGGAACTCCTTTGACTAGTTAATTATGTCGGACCTGAGTAGGTAGCAAATGAGGTGACTTGAAATAGTTATCAACAGTACTACTCAAGACCTGTGGTGTACTTTACATTGTGAAAGGAGAAATTACTGTGACAGATGTTTTAGCAGAGTCTTTTACTGCCCGGAACTTTGCAAGTTTGTGTGTCCTTTTCCAAAACGTGTAAGTGGTTTAGAGAATAGCTGAAAGGAATGCAGAGGGACCTGAGCCATTTTTCATATGGGGGCTAAAGAGTGATGACATCATTTGTACACTAGACATTTATTAATTGTCAAGTTGGTTTCTTTTTCCTCCGGAAGTTGTTTTGTGCTGGTTTTCTGTCTCATTTCAACAACTTTCACTGAGTGTCTTAAATGCAGACCCTGCATTTTTAGAACTAGTTTTCAGCTGAACCAGTAAACCTGCTGTTTCTGTATTGACAGTGGGATCATGAGACCTGGCCTGAACGCCATTCTGGGACCCACAGGTGGAGGCAAATCTTCGTGAGTATAACAGAGAGGATCAGGGAGCTTTCCCTTGCAGTTTTCATGTGCTTTAAAGATCGCTTTGACGAGGGCAGGTGTTAGATGAATATTTGCTGCACATCTAGTCTTGCTCTAGGTGCTATGACCACATGCAGTTAGGCCAGCTGTGGTTCTGTCCTCAGGAGTAGGAAGTGTTATTAGGTAGCTTTACTAACAGTGGACATGATAGGTGATTGGCATACGCCTGTCAGCATTGATTTCAGCTAATGGTGGAAAAGGAAGGGCATGACATTGAAAGTGGGGAGAAGGAGCCAAAGGAATAAGGGAAGGCTTGAGTCTCAGCTAAAGCAGCACGTTACCTTCTGGGAGCCCAGAGTGCAGACAGCTTGGGGTGCTGGTTGGGAAGCTGGTGATGGCTCTGCTGACCATGCTTTGTTTTCATGTTTTGGGCTTTACCATAGTGTAGAGTTAACAAAAGGAAGCTGAGAATTAAAGTATGTCATTATAGTTGAAGCATGGAATTTCTTGATCAGTTAATTTTTTACTGGAGCAGAATTTGGATTCAGAGTAGCTTAGAGACATAGTCTCAGTGAAGAAAAAAACCAACATATTTGTGTTTTTATAGGTTGTTAGATATCTTAGCTGCAAGGAAAGATCCACAGGGATTATCTGGAGATGTTTTGATAAATGGAGCACCTCAACCTGCCAACTTCAAGTGCAACTCAGGTTATGTGGTACAGGTAAGTGTTCCTTATTTCTGCTTTAGACTTTTCCTCTTCTGTCTGGGAAAATGCCTTGACCAGGTCTCAAACCCTGCTGTTCAGTCTGCTCTCCACTGATCACACAATATGAGCTTTGAACCAACTTTATTTCCTCCAGCTTTTTCTAATCTCCCATAAGATATAGAGTAGTGTTAAATGAAAAGGAAGGAAGATACTAGAATATGACCCTTGTAAGGACAGTAATATCAAATCTACTTATCATTTTTCTGAAAGATATTGTTTCCTACCCTAATGTTCTCCTTCACTTAACAAAGTATTTGGCAAATCTTTGTGTAGGTGAGTTTGGTGATGTCTGCTAATAGCAACTATAATTATCAATGTTTTATCAGGTATGTAGATAGGGAATGAGAATTCTTTTATCAGGCTTTGTAGCTATCCAAATTGGAGTTTTTTGTATAATTTGTATAATTATACATCATTAGCCAAACTGTTCCCTTGGCTATGTTATTTTTGTGGATAAAGTTATATATTAATTGTTATATAGTAACAGAGTGGTATTACTAGAAAGACCTGATATGTCTTGTTAAAATCCATTGCCTTAAGGATGATGTTGTGATGGGAACTCTGACAGTGAGAGAAAATTTACAGTTCTCAGCAGCTCTTCGCCTTCCATCAACTATGACGAATCATGAAAAAAATGAACGGATAAACGTGGTCATTCAGGAGCTAGGTCTGGCTAAAGTGGCAGATTCCAAGGTAAGGTGGAAAGAACGGGCGGTACCATCACCAGCTGATAGGACCTCCCCTGTGAGGCCAGTGTGACTCTTATTCAGAAGTTTTCCATAATGTGTGTGGTCAAAAGTGGCTGCTTTCTGTAGTGATGAAAACAGTGACTAGTTACATAATAGAAAGGTGAATGTCAACCAGGAAAAGAAAATGCAACCAGGAAAAGAAAATGAAAAGCAATTGAATCCTGGAAGTGAAGGATAACAGTGTGGGCTCCCACAAACTCGTGTTCTCTGCAAAGGCCAGGTGCCCCTTCCATGTGATTGCAGCTTGTGCTCCTCCCCCTCCCCCACACTAAGTGTTTTGTTCAGATCTGTCCACTAACTTTCTTGCTTTCTGTTTTTCTTCTTTCCCTTGTAGCTTTTCTTCCTGTCTTTCCAGGGGACTTCATTCTGCTGCTTTGGAGGTATATTTCTGGAATTCATAAACAATGAATGAAAATCCCAGGAGTTTGGCTCTGGATGTTCATTTTGCTGTACTTTGTCTTCCAAAATTATCCTCAGTGAAATTAGTGTTTGTTTTTTAAATTGGTGTAGCATCCACGTTGTGTTCCTGTAGCCTTCTGTACAGGACTTTGTCTCCCATCCCTCCCTCCCTCTTTTGTTTCCTCCCTTCCTTCTGCTGATGCTACTGACAGACTGGCTTGTGCTGGGCCCCCTTAGGCTGTATAGATAACAGCTGTGGGCAGGAGAGGCAAAGTAAGTCACCATGTGGGTCGTGCGTGATCAGGAAGAAGAAGTGGGAAGAGTGAGTGAATGATTTAGAGTTGATGAAGAGACATGAAAGATTTGCTGGGAAGGCATTTGAAGCTTTGGGTGAAGATGAACTTTTCAGATTGTCACGGCTCTAGTTTCACCTCCCTGCAATATCCCTTCCTTAGTGGTAATGAAAATGGGGGTGTTCTGTGGGCTGTTGCTTCACGATGCTTTCTGACAGTCTTTTATATAAAGTGTATTTTGCTGTATTTTATTTGGAAGAAGAATTCTGAGCTTCTATCATTTACCACTTATTTCTGGTTGGGAGAACATGGGCTTTCTTCACTGCCAAGGCCCAGTTCTTGAGTTTACTTCAGGACTTTTTTTGGTGGGGGAGGAACGCAAGTGTGTAGAAGGTGAACACATTATGGATGCTTTTACCTATTCCTCTCCTGTCTTTAGCTCCCTTTTTGGACTTTGATTTGACTGTGTCAGAACCATGTCTGTAAGTTCTAACTTCTGACTTGACACTAAATATTTGACGTGACAAGGAACATACAGAATTGTGTAAAGCATGAGTATCATATCAGGCTTAGCCACGTACCAGCTCTAAACTGAGCCTCAGTTTAATTTAAGGGAGACCCATCTTTTCCCCCAGATACTCACTTCTTAGTTGTTCAGAATAAATGAGGACGTGAGATAAAACGCCTCTTACAGGGTTAGCCCATGTTGGGAGCTCAACAAACAACAGTGGCTGTGTTTGTTCTCATTCATAATGAGACCATTTGTGCCTTAGGTTGGAACTCAGTTTACCCGTGGTGTATCTGGAGGAGAAAGAAAAAGGACGAGCATTGGAATGGAGCTTATTACCAATCCATCCATCTTGTTCCTGGATGAGCCCACAACTGGCTTAGACTCAAGCACAGCAAATGCTGTCCTTTCACTCCTAAAGAGGTAAATGCTATGGGAACATTTTTCTTGCATTTGTGCAATGTCTGGTGGCCTGCTCTGTGCCAGGTATTAATCTTGGCACAGTGCATTGAACAATGAACACAACACACACACATTTCTTCCTTCTCATTTTGGAGCAGAACCGTCAGTCCACAAGTATAAGTTTTTGAAGAAGAATGAAGCAAGATAAGAGTATAGGGAAGACCGATGTGGTGGGATGGGGTGTGCCATATTGCATAGTAGGATGGTCAGGGAAGCCCTCAGTGATGTGCCATTTGAGCTTTGAGTGGTACCTGGTTTCCTGGGGGAAGAGAGTTCCAGTTGGAGGGAACAGCCAGTGGCCCTGAAGCTGACCGTGTCTAATGTGCTTGGAACTCAGGAGGCCAGAGGGGCTAGAACCCAGTGACCTATGGTGAGTGGGGAGTTGGTTCGTGAATTAGTTTGCTCTGGCTGCCATAACTTTTAACCACAAAGTGGGTGACTTAAACAACAGAAATTAGTTTTTTCACCATCTTGGAAACCAGCAAGTCCAAGATCAAAGTCCAAGGACTATTTCTTCTAGGCCTTTCTCCTAGGCTTGTAGTTGTCATCTCCCTGTGTCTTCACCTCATATTCCCTTTGTATGTGTGTCTTAATTACATCTTCTTGTAAAAACACTAGTTATTATTGGACTAAGGCTCACCCGTATGACCTTCTTTAGCCTTAATTACTTCTTTAAAAGTTCTATCTGCAAAAACATTCACATCACATCATCACAGAGATAATGGAGCTTAGGAAGTCAACATAAAATTTTTTAGGGGGTGGCATAATTCAGTTATTAACAATAAGAATAGGACATGTACCCTGACTAGAGTGGCTCATGGGTTGGGTGTTGTCCCACAAGCTGAAAGGTCACAGGTTTGATTCCTGGTGCATGCCTGGGTTGCAGGCCAGGTGTCCCTTTGGGGCTTGCAAGAAGCAACCAATCAATGTTTCTCTCACACATTGATGTTTCTCTCTCTTTCTTCTTCCCTCTCTTCCACTTTCTCTATAATAAATAAATAAAACCTTGAAAAATTAGAATAAGACATGCAATGGAATTGAGTGCGCATCAGATTATATGGGCTTTTGTAGGCCACTGTAAGAACTCTGGCTTTTACTGTCCCTAGGTGACATGGGAAGCTTTTAGAGAGTTTTACCAGGGAGTTGTGGCACTTATGTGGAGAAAAGACTGTACATTGGGCAAGAGTGAGTGTAAGGAAACCATTCAGGAGGCTATAGTAGCTCAGTTGAGATATTATTATGGGTTTGACTAGGATGGTAGGGGTTAGTGGTAAGAAGTGGTTGGATTCTTGATTTATTTTGAAGATAGGACTAATAGGATTAGCTTATAAAGTTAACATAGTGTGTGATTATTGAGAATGACTTCAAAGATTTAGGGCCCCAACAATGGAAGAATGAGTAAAAGGAATGGCATTTCTTTTTATCAAGAAAGAAGACTGTGAATCATGTTAATAGGAGAAATTTCCATATTTAAGTTGTTAACATTTTTTACATTATTTTTACATTTCTATCTTAGAGAAAAGTTTACAAAATTGTACAAAGAAATCTTGTGCGTTTTTATGTAGATTCCCCAACTCTTAGCATTCAACTGCTTTTGCTCTCCCTCTGTACTTGTCCTTCTCCACACCTACATCTTTTTTTAACATCTTTCCTGTCACCCCTAAATACTCTGGAGTGTACTCCAAAAATCAAGGACAGTCCTCTGTTAGCACCTTGTACCCTTCTCAGCCAGGAAATCATTTATACCATTGCTGCCATTCAATCCATAGACTACAACCAGACTTCAGCATCTGCCTGAGAAATGACTCATCTTCCCTTCTGTCTTAGATTCCTCTGCAGAAATCATCTTTTCAAAGCCTAATTGGTTTCTCAGTCTTCCTTGTATCTCACATTCTCACCTGTCATTGAGAGTACATTTTATGGGACACAGGCATATTCCTCATTTTGGAAAGCTCTAACCCAATCTTTTTCATGTTCTACTATGCCTACTAATCACCTGAGGTCTTGTTGAAATGCAGATTCTTCTTCTGCAGCTTGCAGTGGAGACCAAGATTCTCCATTTCGATGGGAGATGCTGATGCTGATGCCATTGGTGCTCAGTCCAGGCTTAGAGCAGCATGACTCTCACAACAGTCCCCTTCCTTCCTTCTAGTCCTTTACTATTGCCCACTAACTGAAGTTCCAGCTTCTCAATAAGGGGATTCATCATGGGCTTATTTAAATTTTTTATCTGAGAGTACATTTATAGAAGCTGGGGACAGCAAAATAAGGAAGGGATTAAGATAAAAGAAGCAATAGGAGAGAGGCCTAGGCAGGGTCCCTTTGGCTCTCCAGAAATGTTACAGGAAACAAATGAGCCAGGGTGAGGCTGCTATTGGCTCATTGAAAAGTCAGAGAAAAGGGGCCTTGGAGACAGGTTCAGGGGTTTTGCTACCCTCTGTTCCCCTGGTTGCATGTCCCATGGGGGCCCTCAGAGTTTAAAAAAAATTAGTACCTGATGGAGAGAAGAGCACAAGTGCACTTCAAGATAGGTACCCCCACAGGCTGATTTTTTAAGGCAGTCTCTTTTGTTAACTTCTCTTCTTTTCACCTCTCAGCCCAACTCTGCAATGAAACTGAGCTACTTCAGTTTCCTGAACACATTTTGTCATTGCACACTTAGTTCTCCATGTTCCCTCACCTCGCCTACTCTTTCTCTTCCTTCACAGGTTATTCCTGTTGGCTCCCTCACCACACTATCTCATATCATCTTCAGACTGGGAATGTAGTTTCCCATTTTGCTTACAAAGCATCCTCATTCTATTCTACATTATATTGAAATGATTGATTTACCAGCGTGATCCTCTTTGAGGCAGAACAAACTTATATACACTTCTAACATATATTAAGTGCTTTAAATATGCTTCAATTCAAGTGACTATATTAGTAAAATAGTTTAAATGAAACAGTTTTTGAATAGTGCTTTTGGTCTTTGTTTCTTTGACCAATAAGTAACGAATCCCATGTACAGGTAGTTTATGGATGTGTTGGCCATGGGCCCTGCTGTCCCAGCCCTGCCCTTTCTGTGACATTGTTGGCCAGCTGCTTACCCTTCTAAGCTGTTTCTTTAAAATAAAAGTTTAGTACTGTCGTTACTGTCAGTATTGCCATATTGTCCCATAACAATATTGTGAAAACTCAGATGCGATTATCTGTAAAGTATTAACAAAGTCATGGTAAGTATTTAGTAGTGTTAATTTTACAATAAGGACAGAAGAATGAACAACAATTTCTATAGAACCAGGAGACTTCAGTGATCAATAAGAATGGGACATACAGCTGTTGTGTTAATATTTAGTCCATAATAAGTTCTTGAGTGTACTTTCAAGTTACCTGGGTGCCTGTTAAAAATATGGATTCCCTAGCCCTGATTGGGTGGCTTAGTTGGATGGCCATACTTTAAAAGTTTGTGGTTTTGATTCCAGGTCAGGACACCTACCTAAGTTGTGAGTTTAATTACCAGTTAGGGCAGGTATGAGAGGCAACCAGTTGATGGTGCTCACATCGATGTTTCTTTTCTCTCTCTTTCTCTTTCCCTCTCTCTCACTTCCTCTCTCTCTAAAAACAATAAACATATACTCAGGTGGGCATCATAAAAAAAGAAGAAAAATATGAATTCCATAAATGCAGTAGGTGTGAGAAGACTATTCAAGTATCTGCAGTTTTTAATGAATGTTCTACTGGGTTCAGGACTATTCATGGGACACATTTTAAGAAACTTCTGTCTGTTTCTGGGCAAGATGGAGGTGTAGGTTGATACACTTTCCTTCCTCGCACAACCAAAAGAAGGATAACAATCAATTTAAAAACAAAAAGCAATCGAAACTGCCAGAAAATGTAAGGGTCCTACAAATAAGGAATTAAAGAAATGTTCATCCAGACTGGTAGGAGGGGTAGAGATAGGAAGCGGGCATGGCAAGAATGTGTGACAAGGTGGTGGCTGGTGGACTGGGGAGGATGAGAAGGCAGTTGGTAGACCATGATATCCTAAGTTTGCACTTGGATAAGCGGGAGGAACAACTGGGAGTGACACAGATCACAACCCAGGGTTCCAGCATGGGAAACTAAAGCCTCAGAACCTCTGGCTGTAAAAATCTGTGGTGGTTATAGTGGCAAGAGAAACTCCCAGTTTCACAGGAGAATCCACTGAAGGGGCCCACAGGATCATAGAACATGTGCAAGGCCACTCACTTGGGAAGCAGCACCTGAAAGGGCATAATCTGCCTGTGGGAAGAGAGGGAAGTAACTGAAAACGGGGCTAGAGCCGAGCAAGGGGCATTGCTCCCTCTCTGACCCCTCCCCCACAGACAGTACCACAGGTCAGCAAAGGGGGTTGCCCTGCCCTTGTGAATACCTATGGATCTTCCCCTTACAAAATAACAGGTGCAATGAGAAAATGAAATATGGTCCATATGAAAGAACAGATCAAAACTGCAGAAAAAATTAAGCAACAAGCATATAGCTAACCTATCAAATACAGAGTTCAACACATTGGTAATCCAGATGCTCACAGAAATGACTGAGTATAGATACAAAATAAACAAAAAAGTGAAGGCTATGAAATATGAAATAAAGAAAAATATACAGGGCACCAAGAGTGAAGGGAAGAAAACTGGGACTCACATCAATCAATTTGGAACAGAAGGAAGAAATAAACATTCAACCAGAACAGAATGAAGAAACAAGAATTCAAAAAAATGAAGAGAGGCTTAGGAACCTCTGGGACAGCTTTAAATGTTCCAACGTGGGACGTTTAAATCATTGAGGTGCCAGAAGGAGAAGAGGAAGAGCAAGAAATATTTGAAAAAATAAGGAAGGAAAACTTCCCCAATTTGGCAAAAGAACTATACATGTAAGTCCAGGAAGCTCAGAGAGTCCCAAAGAAGTTGTATCCAAGGAGAAACACACCAAAACATATCATAGTTAAATTACCCAAGATTAGAGACTTCCAGCCAAGATGGAGACATAGGTAGATACACTGTACCTCTGTGCATAATGAAAAAAAGGGCAACAAATTTAAAAACAAAAATCAACCAAAACTGCCATAAAATCTAACTGTGTGGAAGTCTAACAACCAAGGAATTAAAGAAGAAATGTTCATCCAGACTGGTAGGAGGGCGAAGACAAGCAGCCAGGGTGGAAAGGACTCATGACACAGTGGTGGCTGGAGGACCAGGGCTGGCCAGGTGGTGGCTTGTGAACTGGGAGGCCCCGTATTTGTGTGGGTATAAACTGTAAGGAACAACTGGGGGGTGAGATAGACCATGCAACCCAGGTTTCCAGAGTGGGGAAATAAAGCATCAAAACCTCTGACTGAAAATTCTGTGGGGGTTGAGGTGGCAGGAGAAACTTCTAGCTTCACAGTATAGGTCACTGGAGAGACCCATAGTGTCCTAGAACATGCACAAACCCACCAACCCGAGAATCAGCACCAGAAGGGCCCAATTTGCTTGTGGATAGCGGGGGAAGTGGCTGAAAGCTGGCAAGAGCCAAGTAAGCATAATTGTTTCCTCTCAGAACCCTCCTCCACATACACTGTCACAACGCAGCTATGAGGGTTGCCCCACCCTGGCTAATACCTAAGACTCCACCCCTTAGTGCATAATAGGCACACCAAGAAAAAAAATGGCCTAAATGAAAGAACAAGTCAAAGCTCCAGAAAAAGTACAACCAAGCAATGAAGAGATAGGCAACCTATCAGATGCACAGTTCAAAACGTTGGTAATTGGGATGCTCACAGAGATGGTTGGTATGGTCACAAAATAGAGGAAAAAGTGAAGGCTGTGCAAAGTGAAATAGAGGAAAATGTATAGAGAACCAACAGTGAAGGGAAGGAAACCAGGACCTCAAATCAATCAATTTGGAGCAGAAGGAAGAAATAAACATTCAACTGGAACAGAATGGAAAAAAAAAAACCCACAAGAATTCAAATAAGTGAAGAGAGGCTTAGGAACCACTTGGACAACTTTAAACGTTCCAACATGCGAATTATTAAGGGTGCCAAAAGGAGAAGAGGAAGAGCAAGAAATTGAAAAATAATTTGGAAACATAATGAAGAACACCTTCCCTAATCTGACAAAGGAAATAGACTTTCAGGAAGTCCAGGAAGCTCACAGAGTCCCAAAGAACTTGGACCCAAGGAAGCACACACCAAGGCACATCATAGTTACATTAGCCAAGATTAAAGATAAGGAGATAATCTTAAAAACAGCAAGAGAAAAGGAGACAGTTACCTACAAAGGGGTTCCCATAAGCCTATCAGCTCATTTCTCAGAAGAAACCTTACAAGCAAGGACAGCTGGAAAAAAGTATTCAACGTCATGAAAGGCAAGGACATTCATCCTAGATTACTCTTACCTAGCAAAGCTATCTTTTAGAATGGAAGGACAGATGAAGTGCTTTCCAGATAAGGTCAAGTTCATGAAGTTCATGATCACCAAGTTTTTGTAACACTAAATGTCAAAGGGACTTATCTAAGAAAAAGAAGATCAAAACTATGAGCAGTAAAATGACAACAAACCCAGAACTATCAACACCCAAACAAAAACAAACTAAGCAAATAACTATAACAGAAACAGAATCACAGAAATGGAGATCACTTGGAGCAATGTCAGTTAAAAGGGGAAAGGGGGAGAATAGGGTAAAAGATACAGGGAATAAGAAGCAAAATTGGCAGGTGCAAAATAGACAGGGGGAGGTTAAGAATAGTATAGGAAATGGAGAAGCCAAAGAACTTATGTGTATGGCCTATGGGCATGAACTGAGTGAGAGCTGGTAATGCTGGAGGGAGGGGGGTGTAGAGCAGAGGGGGAGAAAGGGGAGGAAAAAGGGGACAACTGTAATAGCATAATCAATAAAATATACTTTAAAAAAGTAAGTGGCCAAAATGCATTAATGAAAGACTGATTTTAAAAGTAACTCAAATACATGGTGGCTTAACTTTTTTAAAAAAGTAAAAAAAAAAAAGAAACTTTTGTCTTTCATAGTCTTTCATAACAACATTGAAAGACAATGCTTAACAGAGAGATGATATGAGATATGATGTTAGAGAAAATCGAATTGAACCATGAACAAGTGAAGTAAAGCAGGAATATGTTTGTTTTTTTTTTTTTACTAAGAAGTGCAAGTATCAGATGTTAAATTACTTATTACTTTCTCATCTTTACCTTAGGATGTCTAAAAGTGGACGAACCATCATCTTCTCCATTCATCAGCCTCGTTTTTCCATCTTCAAATTGTTTGATAGTCTCACGCTGTTGGCCTCAGGAAAACTAATCTTCCATGGGCCTGCTCAGGAGGCTTTGGAGTACTTTGCATCAGCTGGTGAGGCTGCCTTTTCCTTTGGTCGGGGGGGGGGGTGCTTTGCTTTGAGCTGTGAGGCTGCCTTTTCGTGCAGTGAGATCCTTCATTAACAGGGTCCTTAAAGAGAGTTGAGGAAGTGGATGGGAGTGCAGTTTGAGCTTTGCATAGACATGTTATGGGTTCCAGCACTCCTGAACACCCTTGGTCAGTTTGATGTTAGAATTTTTCTTCATTTTGCACCCCGTCTTGTTGTTTAGGACTCTTTCTTGTACTATTTCAGTATGAACACATACTCTGTGTGCACATAGGACTATTTCTGTTGGGCCCATATCAGTTCTGCTTCCCAGTTCTGATTCCCTTTTCCTAACAGTTCAATAAATATATTGGCCTCATAGGCAGTTATATGTCAGTTGAACACTTTTGGAAAGGCCTTGTACCATCCATTCCCCCAAAAAATATTAGTCTCCTTGACCAAATAACTGATCGGGTTATATCATTTCTATCCCCTGCATGGAATGTCAGTCTGCCTTGATGAAGGTTCCTGGAAATGCTGCTTAATGTTGTAGTAACATTAGATTGCAGATTTAGTTCTTGGGGGACATAAATGACTTACCAGGCAGTAGAATGGCTATTCCTGAGTCTGACTTTGGTACACCAACATTTCTGACAGTTCTGGGCAACCTGGTTTATTTGAGGTGGAATGCTATAATTTATTTTATGGTCCATGTAGTCTGCTTCATTTTACAGATATTTGGATATTATTATAGATGATTCTTCATGACTCTAACTATAGTTTTAAATGTTCCCTAGCTATTTTTTAAAATTTGTTTTCGTATAATCTCTGCCATTCAGAAATAATCCAGGACACTTGGGTATGGGGAATATAGGGGAGAGGAATCTAAAAGTCAAACTACTGGCCATGTTTAGTTCAGATGATCAGGCACAAGAAGTGAAGGTAAAGTGTTCAGGTGTACCATGCACATTACATCCTCTTGAGGATGCTGCTCTGGTGATTGGTTGTTTATTAGAATTATAGTAGCATGGGAGGTGATAGTTTGGACCTGAATTTAGCAGATGTAGAAGCCACCATCACTAAAGTGGGTATTGGCATGGTGGCGGTCGCTGGTGGTACCAGAGGACAGAACACACTCTGGGCTTCTCCCAAACACCATACTGCTGTGCCTTAGCTGCCTTTGGCATGATGCCTTGCTTTTAGGGGCATTAGTCCAAATTGCAGCTTTTTTTCTTTTTTAACATATATGTTGTTTTGCTTATGTATCTGATTTGCCTTATTTTGAAGGTCACCATTGTGAGCCCTATAATAACCCTGCAGACTTCTTCCTCGATGTCATCAATGGAGACTCCTCTGCTGTGGTGTTAAACAGAGAGGACAAAGATGGTGAAGGTATGCGCATCTGTCAAGATTCACAGATTATTGCCTAATTGAGTTGCCTGGCGTTGAGCAGTATGGTAGCTAATGGAAATGTGGCTTTGTGAATTTATATAACTACTGCTGCCTTCAGACACCAGTTGTTTTAGTCCATTTGAGGTAACAAGAATGCCACAGGCTAAGTGGCTTAAACAATAATCACTTATTTCTCAGTGTTCTTGAGCCTGAGCAGTCCATCATCAGTTGCCCGGAAATTTATTGTCTTTTGGGGCCCCACCAGCTGGCTCACTACCGTATTCTCCTTGTGGCCTCACATGGTGGCCACGGGGTGGGAGCTCTCTGGGGTTACTTTCATAAGGGCACTAATCTCATTCATGAGGGTTCCACCCTCATGACCTAATCACTCCTCAAATTCACCACCTTCAAATACCATCACATTGGGGGACTGGATTTCAGCATATGAATTTGGGGGGACTCAAAACATTTAGTCTTTAGCATCAGTCAATGCAGGTTGTCTTGTCTGTGAGTGCTGTGTTTTGGATTTAATTTATAATTGAGAATTTATATGATAGTGTCAGTTCTAAGGGGAGTTTTCATTAAAAATATGCTCAATTTATACAGTGTTTTGGTATAAGAAACTGAGCCATCTATGCATTTGCACATAGTAGAGAGCAAAGACTAGGTTTTATATTAAGAAATATAAATATGGGAAGATTTTTATTTTAAAAGACTCAGGGTACAAATATAAATAGCTAGGAAATGGTGTTTGCTTCATCCTTAGCATATGGAAATAGTCAAGACAATTAACTACATTTTTCTAATGTGTAAAGCAATGACAAATCTAATAATTTTGATATTCAAGTTAGAATTAAGTGTTAGGGAAGAATTTAAGAAAGGGATTCCAGAAAACTGGCCAAAGCAGTTACTTTATTAATATTTTCCTCTGTCCACTTTTCTTCCAAAGCCAAGGAAACTGAAGAACCTTCCAAGAGAGATACGCCAATCATAGAAAAATTAGTTGAGTTTTATGTCAACTCTGCCTTCTTCAGAGAAACAAAAGTTGAATTAAATCAACTCTCAGGGGTTCATAAAAAGAAGAAGAGTGTGGTCTTCAAGGAGATCACCTACGCCACCTCCTTCTGTCATCAAGTCAGATGGGTTTCCAAGCGTTCATTCAAAAACTTGCTGGGTAATCCCCAGGCCTCCATAGCTCAGGTAACCTGACCGGTTCTTCTGATTGTACTGTGAAATGTTCACGTGAGCATTAGATTCTAATATAAACTATTATGTCATTATATGTATCCTCTGCCAACACTTCTACCTCACTTCATTTGGGATACAGAAATAGTCAATAGAACAAATAAAACACAATCTTTTAACTATGCATAATGTTTTTAGTGGTTTTTTTGACTACCTGATTCAGAATTTTTATTGATTTAGACAAGTTGTAATAGATCATGATTGTACAGAATTTTTTTTTTCAAAAACAAAATAAAGGAATGAATGGTTTAGCCACATTTGGTAGCTGCACATGTTTATTTCCTGACTCGTTCAACAAGTCCCTGTTGAGCATGTGCTGTATTGGGGAGCTTGTACACAGCAGTGAACAAAATGAGTAAAAACAAAAATCCCTGCTCTTCTGGAACAAACTTTCTTACGAGGAGGGACAGCTGACACATTCCTAAGACATAAAATGTATAGTGTGGCAGAAGGAAAAATGGGCTATGGGGAACCTTTCAGCAGGGAAGTGGAGAAAGGAAGAGAGAGAGAGAGAGAGAGAGAGAGAAGGAAATGAGAGGGGAAAGCAGGAGAGAGGGTAAGGGGTTGGTTTGCATTTTAAGTCAGGTGGTCAGGGAAGCCTTCACCTGGATGTCAGTGAGTGCACCTGAGCATGTGAGGGAAGAGCCTGTGTGCAAAGGTTGTTCCTTATCTCTGGCCTTCTGCACTTAGGGGTTCTGATCTGGGAGACACCAGGCACCTCAGTCAGTTTGCAAAGAACACAAAGGTGGTGAGCAAGCTTGACTTGTGTTCTACAGTAAGGCTGTTGTTCACTTGCAGATGAAATTTCTCTTCATTAAGATGAAATCATGTGCTTTTCTTTTTCGGGCTGAAGCTGTTGAGTTGTTGACTATTCCTCCTGTATGGTTTTTGTTTTTCTCAAGTCCACCATCATACAAAACCCTGGTATTTTCAGTTTGGTGGTCCATCATTTCTAAGGATAAAGCCAGTTATTTTGGAGGTTGTTAATTTTATTACCAGTCATTGAATTTCTGTTGACTACTAAAAAGTGACCCATAGTTGGGTCATTTAATGAACCTTTTCTAGTGAACCATTATTGACATATTAACATGTATAGCATAATTTCCATACTTCAGCATTGTTGCCTTCTAAGTGTTGATACTGAGAGTCTAGATTCCTCTTTGAGATGTACTGCTAATTGCTCCAAATTTTGTTCATATTTGTTATTTGACATTTCTGTCAGAGCATTAGTAGTTTTGTGTAGCACCTATCAAGGGTAAATTTTTATTTTTTTAGAGTGGATTTGATGTCATTTGGAAACAAGTCTGGTGAATCAGGTGAACCTGGTTGCTCACTGATCACCAGCGAGATGGTGTAGTGGACTTCATTCTGTAGTGTGATTTATGCATCATGTTTTTGACTTGGAAAAGAACTCCAATTTCTCTTGTCTCTAAAAGTGGCTTATAAGTGTCATGTCCAGATCACATATATTATAGTTCTGGTCAAGGTGTGATTAGAGTGTGAAACTCTTTCTAATATACCACAGTCCTGCAGCTTTTGGTGCTAGGCTTCCTTCAGCTGCAAACCCCAGGCCTAGTACCTGCAGGTCACATGTTCAGACTCTTCAGTGAATTCATTCCACTGAAGGAATTCCAGCAATGTTCAGAGCCCTGGCAATCTCGTAGAATAAGGATAGAACCTTGCATCTCTGAGCATCTGAATGAGGGGGTGGTATGGCTCTTGTTTAGATGTTTAAATACTAGAATATTAATTTTTAGCAGGAGTAGCCAGACCTTTTATATATGGACCAAATAGTAAATGTTTTAGGCTTTGTGTGCTATGAGGTCTTTGTGTCAGGTTGTCAACTCTGCCATTTCACCGAGAAAGTGGCTAGAATAACGCAGAAATAAATGAGTATGGTTGTGCTCCTATTAAACTATTCATAGATGGTATAATTTGAATTTTAGAACTATTTCATGTGGCAAGAAATATTTCTTTTTTCAAAGATTAAAAATTGGTAAAAACTGTTATCTCATGGACTGGACAGAAATCAGTGATGAACCCTTTTTGACCTGCAAGTCATAGCTCTGTGACCCCTGGTTTTAGGTTTTTAAACTGGCATGTATGTCATTTGCTTTTCTAAACATTTGCATGTTTATCTATAAAAACATTTTATGGTTTCTTGCTGCTAAATCATGTACCTATAGTCTTATAGCTGTACTTCAGTTTGAACTTGTCATCTATTCAATTTACACTTTGCTTTTGAAAATGCATTTATGCAGAGGTTGTATTTGGAAGTTCTTGGATCAATTAGATTGTCTATATAAGAAGATTTAATATTCATTTAATGTGCCAAGGGTCTTCTGATCAAATCCATTTGGAAAAGTTATCATATCTCTTGGAGATTCATCATTTCTATTAGCATAGTAAACATTTAAGTATGGATTAAATTTTGTAGTTTTGGCCATAAACATTTCTCAGAGCTCACCTTGAGAAATGTTGGTAAATACGTTAGAACAAAGATAAAAGCACATATTTAGGGGGTTTTTTTCTGTACAAAATGAAGGCCTGATGCACAGATACACAGGTAGGGTTTCTTTGTGCATTTTGTTATGCAGTATTTACTTTGTCTATTTTCTTTTTAATACAAGAATGAATAACATAGACACACCTGATACAAGTATGACAGTGTTGCTGGATCAATCATTTTGTCAGTATATTTGAAAGCTGACTTTGAAAATACTTTTAGAGCTTGGAAATTTTAGGTGACCTCCTAATGATAATGCTAATAATCGGGTGGTCTAAAATACCAAGTTTCAATGCAAAAGAAACAGAGCATGTGGAGTGTCCAGTTTAGAAAGTTATAATATTCCCACTGTTATACTTTGTGAAATTGTGGACTTGTGTATATGCTTATGCACACATGTCGATGGAATCATCATCACTTGTTTAGGAAACTTGATCTGTTGGCATGAACTCCAGTGTGTTCTGAGGGCAATCAAAATATATCAGGGTAAGAGTTTTTTTCAAATTTTTAATGTCTTATTAACAGTGGAACTTTTAAAGGCCATCTCTAATGATTTCTTTTTTCTAGACAGTGCTCCTCACAAACTAGCCTTCACAAATCATGGTTCTGTTTTTCAGCTTGGTTTGCTTCATGTCTAAAGTGTGCTTGAAAAGTTACTTAAAGTCTGGATACCATTGTGCTGTTGTAATACCAAGATTTTTTTTTAACTTTGAAGGTTCCAGGATACATAGTGGGATGTATTCTTTTGATTACTGTTTCTTATATTTTACATTTCATATCATGTAAAAGTACAGTAAATAGAATTTTCTTAAGTAAATTATGTGATAACAACTCAACCCTTTCCTTATGGAAGCGTTCTTAAGAGATGGTTTATCAGTCTTCAGGACAAAAGTGATGCTTATTTAGTTTTCCTTGGACTCATCAAACAGACTAAGTGAAGGTTGTAAGAGTGGGAAAGAATTGGCAGCTTACTTCTGATGTGGGCTGTAGGCCCTACAGGCTGAGGTTGCTGGAGAAGTAGTGACAGGAGATTGCATAACGGAAGCACTTGGGTGCCCTCAGAGAAAGCGGACTAAACGCTTTGGTGGTAGTGACAATGTACTTTTCCACGCAGGCGTGGGGACTCCCCACGCCCCCACCTCATAGATGGGCCCCTGGTTACTGCTACTTCCTTATGGTACAAATTCCATTGTTAGAAATTAGGTTATGTGTAGTTTATAAATTGTATTTATTTTTGTGTGCTTTAAAAACTATATTTGTTTTTAATGTTAAGAATATTTTTAATATTTTGTTGTTGCTCAAACCTCTTGAAATACTATACAACTATGCATATTCACTAGTAGTCTACTTCATTCTCCTTCAGTCTCCCCAACACGCAGATAAATTAATTTTTATTTTAATTTATAGGGCAGTCTAATAACATGCACTGTTTTATATTTTCCCAAGGACTTTGGCCAAGTCATTTAAAGTATCTATCTTAAGGGAGTGATTTCTTTATTGTAAAAATAAATGGTGTATAAAGTTTTTACCTTTAATTGAAACTCCTTTTTTTTTCTATTTGAAAAGGTAATCGTAACAGTCATCCTGGGACTGGTTATAGGTGCCATTTTCTATGATTTGGAAAATGACTATACAGGAATGCAGAATAGGTGAGTGCATTTGGATCTTGATTTTTAAAAAGAGCTGTTACTTTTTCTAAAGTTTTAAGAATCCATTAAGAATTTCAATTTCAGAGAAGTACAGGATAGATTGAGAATAAGTTAGTGAATTGAAAGATTCATGGAAGGGGAAATTTTCTTATATGGCCAGAAATAGTTCAGTCATTGTTAACATAACAAAAATGGTTTACACTACATTGATGTAACCTGGCAGCTGAGGAGAGTGGACTGGGATGTGCACGCATGAACAATGATGACTTCACTGTACTAGTCAGTGGGAGTGGTAGATGCTGTTGAGTGAGCATGTGTACTATGTAGCCATTGCATTCAAAATGACTGAGCAAGTAGAGCAATGAATCTCCATAAAATTTTGCATTAAGCTTGAACATTTCTCCGTGGAAACTATTTGGATGATTCAGAAGTTCTTTCAGGGATGTTGCAATTAGTGTAGCACAAATAAAAATGTGACGCAAACACTTCGAAGCTGATTAAGAATCTGTTGAAAGTGATCCACATTCTGGAAGGCCTGCAGCAAACAGAACACCTGAGAATGTTGAATGTGTGTGGGCTGCAATCCACAGAGATCAACGACTGACAGTGTGAGAACTAGAAGCTGATATGGGGGTTCCAAAAACTACTTTGTTTGAGATTTTGATGCAGGATTTTGGCATGAAATGTGTTGTGGCAAAATTTGTTCTGTAGCTTCTGTTATTAGAGCAGAAGGAACATTGTGCTGCAATTGCTAATGACTTGATTCAAACCACAACCAATGAACCAGATTTCCTCAAGAAGGTCATAACTGGAGATTAATCGTGGGCCTATGGCTCTGATCCAGAAACAAAGGCCCGGTTGTCCCAATGGAAGTCACAAGAAAGTTACAGTGAGATCAAAACCATGTTAACTGTGTTTTTTGATTGGGAAGGTGTTGTCCATCACAATTACAAGCTCTTCCAGACCAAACGATTAATAAGGAGTAGCACCTCAATGTTCTTTCTTGGATCAGAAATGCAGTACAATGAAAATGGTCACAGCTGTGGCAGATTCATCACAACAATGCACCTTCTCATGCATCATGTCTGGTGCAGAGTTTTTTTTGTGAAACATCAAATCACCCAGGTGGCTCCAACGCCTTACAGCCCAGATTTGGTGCTCTTACAACTCCTGGTATTTCCCAAAACAAAAAATCACCTTTGAAACGGAAGAGATTTTAGACCATTGATGAGATTCAGGAAAATACAGGTATGATGGGGCAGCTGATAGTGATTCCAACAAAGAATTTTGAAGGGTGTTTTGAACAGTGGAAGAGATACCGAAGAACTGTGTGAGGTCCCAAGGTGCCTGCTCTGAAGGGGATAGAAGTGTCATTGCCCTATGTACATATTTCTTATATCTTGTATTTCTTCAATAAACGCCTCTATTTTTCATAGCGCATGGCTGGGTACTTTCTGGACAGGCCTCATATAATGGTAAAATGTACAGAACATAAAGTTTACCCTCAAATCCAGTGGCAATTACCTGGGCAATTCAGTGGCATTAATTACATTCACATTGTTTTACAACCAAAGTAGGATAGTTACAAGCTAAGAAAATTCTTTAGCAAGTGGAATGGGGAAACTGAGACAGCTGATTCATATTGGCCTCATCAGGTGCACTAATTCACCTGCTTCCTTCTCCCTTGAATGACCACTCACTGAAAAATTAAGCCCTCAGGACAGCAAGCTTCTCGTCATCATCAAATAATGTTAGGAGAAAAACCTCCAGTCTGTCCATCACAGAGATTTTTGCTCAAACTGGAGATAACATCTAGGCCGCAGTTGTGTTGCAGCGTTAGACCCAAAAGGCAGAAAAATGAGATGAAGCGACACCATGGCTGGCATCAGGACCAGCTGCAATGATCAAGGTCCCCTACTCCAGTACAGACCATGATCCTGACCCTATATTCTCATTTTGATGCATCAGCATATTAAAAGACAGGCCTGGAAAGCTGATAAGATTCTCCCCTGAGACATCCCTTAAAATTCCTGCTTTTAGAAAACCTATAAAAACCCTGATGACAAAGAATACAGCAGGCACTGTCTCCCTAGAGCAAGCTCGTGGCCTCTTTTTTCAGGTGTGTAATTTTGCTTTCCTTCTAAGCATTAAAGGTCCCCACAAGACCTACAACCAGAAATGCAGTGGGAGAGGGTGGCTTGTCTTGAGCTAACCGCTTGAACCTGTCTTTGGGGCCTTTCTTTTGCTTCTGTAACTTGTATCCTGAGTCCACACAGTCCAGCTGGCTCACTTATTCTGCCTATTTAACTTCATTTCTAAAAAACCAAGGCAGTTCTCTGAGCAGCACACTGGAATCTTCTCTTCCAGTGTACTTTTACTTTGCCTGCTAAATAAAGATCCTCTTGCACAAGAGTTCTTGGCTCTGAATTTTTTTTTTTTTTTGCTAGCGAACTCAAGAACCAAGGAGTCAACATTGCTGCCAACACAACCATCACAACCATCCAGCTCTAGAACATCTTTTCTCATTTCCAAAGCGAATCTCTGTACCCATTGAACACTAACTTCCCATTCCCTCTTTCCCCAGCCCTTGGAAACATCATCATACTTTCTGTCTCTGAATTTGACCACTGTAGGTACCTCATATAAATGGAATCATATAGTATTTGTCCTTAGGTGATTGGCTTATTTATCTTAGCATAGTATCCTCAAAGTTAATCCATGTTGTAGCATGTATTATAATTTCTTCCCTTTAAAAGCTGAGTAACATTCCTTTGTAATATTTTGTTTATCTTATTTACCACATTTTGTTTATTCATTTACCTGCCCATGGAAACATGGGCTGTTACCACCTTTGGCCGTTGTGAATACTGCTGCTATGAATATGAATATGAGTATGCAAATGAGTATGTGTTTGCGTCTCACTTTAAATTCTTTTGGATGTATACCCAGAAGTGGAGTTATTGGATCAACTGGTTATTCTATCATTTTTTTGAGGAAGTTCCATCCTGTTTTTCTATAGCAGCTGCATCATTTTGCATTTCGACCAGCAGGGCACAAAGGTTCTGTTTCTCCCCAGCCTGGGCAACACTTACTGTTTTTCTTTATAGCAGCCACCCTAATTGGGGTAAATGGGTATCTCATTATGGTTTTGATTTGTATTTCCCTGCTGATTAGTGGTGTTAAGCATTTTCTCATGTGGTCATTGGCTTTTTATGTATCTTCTTTGGAGAAACGTTTATTCAAGTAACTTGCTCTTTTTTCTTTAACTGGACATTTTTATTTTTAAGCTGTAAAAGCTCTTTATCTATTCTGGTTACTAACCCCTTATTGCACATAAACTTGTGAATATATTCTGCTATTCTGTGGGTTGTCTTTCAGTCTGTTGATAGTATCCTTTAATAAATAGAGTTTTAAATTTTGTCACAATCCAGTTTATCTAATTTGTTTTTGTTTTGTTGCCTGTGAACTAATTTCCATTCTATTTTTTACGCGTTTGATGTGGTGAGGTGAATGGCACTCAGTTTTTCCTAACTTTAACATGGGTAATTACCAGAAAAGACTTAGACTGTGTTAAATTATTTAACAAAAAGCATTTACTAAAAATAAATTTTAGTAATTGTGAAGTAGGAAGCAATTGTGATTCGTGTACACATTCAGTGGCAGAGCTAAACTAGGGACTGAAGTAAAGCTCATTTGTCATTGGTGGCTGCAGTTCACGTTCAGAAACCAGGCGGAGCGGTGGGCCGGAAAACCTGCAGGCAGTTACTGCACATCTGAAAACAAGCGCTATTTTGCAAACCACTCCCCAGATGCTTTCCTCAAACGGGGACAAGCTGGCTTCTAATCATGTGTACAGTGTGAGCCTCTTTTACGTAAGGGTTACTGTACAGAGTTGTGGTGATAGCTAAACAAATAATATGTATGAAGAGAAAAGGTCTTTAAAAAATGTATCTGGATCCATGAGTTGATATTAATGACATGGGTTACCACCTTAAAAGGAATTACAACACATTAAATTCTTTGACAATAAAAGCTGTTTTTACCATAACAAAATTATCTGATGATTTATAAGGAATTTCTTTATCTACCAGTTCAAATCATTATGAACATTATTGTACTGTTAGAAGAAAGACTTAAAAAATTGAACTGAATGTTGCCATGTCCCCTTTTTCTGACATAGGCTATCCTTTGATATTAGGCTTTTAAAAAAAATTATAAAAGATTGCATAGCTGCTTCTGTACTGGGCCTGGCTATATTCTACTTATTCATTATTGTATAAATATCTTCTTTTATATCAGGCTGTTACCTAAGTTCTGTTCTTTATTATTATCATTATTATTGGTGATAAAAAATTATTAAGTATCTATTAACTCTTTGCTTTGGGGGTTGTACACTCAGATTTGCATAATGTACCACTTATTCTCTTTGTTTCTGTTTGCATCCATAATATCAATTAAATTGTGTGGTTGTGCAGGGAAGTGCAACACTGTTTGGGGGATGCGGGCATACTTTCATAAAATTTAGAGTTCCATCAAAGTGCAGATGAACTGAATACTTTCTTTTTAGACCTTATTTTACTGAGAGGGAAGCATTAATAGTCTTCCTCTTCGTACGTATGCACAAGTTAATTTTCCTTTAGGAGTGTGATTCGCTTCCTCTTTGAGTGCACAGGCAGCCACGCTGGCAGTGGGTTGTCAAGGACAACACGAGGTTCTTCTCCTGACTGAGAGATGAATGTGTCTAATGAGGTGTCCACGGAGCTTTCCCTCCACCATCTTTCACTTGGTCCCCTCATGTCTTAGTTCCTTCTTTACTCAACTGTGACAAACTGGCTAAGAGAGGTTTCTAACCTTTGCAGGTTTTGACTATTTCTCTGTTCATGCATTAGGATGGTACTTGTGTTTTCATTAGTTAAAATTAAAGGTGGTGGCATTTTTATGACCTTTGTAATCATCACCTTGGCTGCCATAACAACCACAGACTGAATGGCTTAAACAACAGATACCTATTTCTTACAATTTGGAGGATGTGGGTGCCACCATGCTGGGTTCTGAAGAGGCCCTCTTCTGGCTTTCTGCTCCCTGCTGAGTCCCCATGTGGCAAAGAGAGAGCCCTGACATCTTTTCCTTGTCTTCAGACACCCCATCCTGAGGGCCCCAGCCCCATGACCTCATCTAAACTTAGCTTCCTTCCAAAGATGCTATCTGTAAATATCTTCACCTTGAAGGGTAGGGCTTCAACATAAGGGTTTTGGGGGAGACAGTTCAATCCATGGCAACCCAGGTCTGTGAATTTTAACCTGTGCCATGTGGAGTCCCAGGGACCCCACTGGGGAGACTCTGGGGGGAGACCTAAGGGAGTTTGTACTTCCCTCCCCTCACTCTTTTAACTTGAACACTTGCACAATGTCAGAAGGTATCACTTGAAGAGTTTTGCAGGTAGAAGAATGACCTAAGAATGTTTGACTGATTGCAGTGCTTTTGTTCTCTTCTCTCATCGCAGAGCTGGGGTGCTCTTCTTCCTGACAACCAACCAGTGCTTCACCAGTGTGTCTTCTGTGGAGCTCTTCGTGGTTGAGAAGAAGCTCTTTATGTGAGTGTGTCTCTGTTCTGGGAAGGGGGCCGTCCATCGTCAGGGTTATTGGTCAGACGGATCACATGCTGAAATGGGCCAGATTGGTTCCTGGGGATTACTAGGGATTATTGAGAAGCAGCAGCCAGGGGCTTGGAGGGGAATCATGAGCATAAGGGGCCTGTGACCAAGGCAAAAGGAGTTTCAAGATTAGGGTAATAGCCTCAAATGCAAATGGTACAGGAGGAGATTTAGAATACGTTCACCTGGAGTGGAGGTTCCGAGGGCAAAGTGGGCGGCCTTAGGAGGGAATTCTACAGTGAGAAGAGGGGTCATCACACAGAGCAGGTTGGGAATGGTGTGTCGGGGGAAGTGAGGCCCTGAGATGGTGCCTTATGCTCACTGGGTGGGGGTAGAGGGTTAACCTGGGGGATGTGGAAGCTGTGGTTGTTAGACCCCTGGTGGCAGCAGATTTTTGGAGCAAGTGGCTTAATCACTGAGTCTGTGCCTCCCTAAATTCATGTGGGATGCCCGGTGTGAATTTTTGTTTTTTAGGCATGAATATATCAGTGGATACTACAGAGTGTCATCTTATTTCATTGGGAAACTGTTATCTGATTTACTACCCATGAGGATGTTACCAAGTATTATATTTACTTGTATAACCTACTTCATGTTAGGTAAGCAGTAAGACAGAAAGTACCTGTCTGTAACGTGGGATGTGAGGAGAAGCTGATTTCTTTTTGAGAGAATGTTTTTGGTTCTCAATACTGTAAAACAGTGTTGAGATAAGGAACCATGAGATAAGGAAGTGTCTGTCTGTTGTGTACACTCTGAAATAGCAATTCCCTGAGTTCATTTATGTCAAGTCTCTTCCCACACTAATGTTTATAGCTTTTATAAAATGATGTTACTCAGTGATGGTGTGTGTCATATACAGACGTGCAAAGAATTCATCAGTAATTGAGACTTTGCTGGAGGAGCTGGAGCTGTGACATTTATTGCCTATCTATTTGTGTTCTTATGTGTATATGTACATACACACATAGAAACTGAAAACAGCAACTTTTGGAGTTTATTGTTTTAGTAAGAATACTTTTTTTTGTGCATGAAGACAGATTCATGTGTGCACTGTGTTAAGGATTCTCCCCCGGCTCATTGCCTTGGAATTTACATATATTTCACTGTGTACACATACTTGGACACTAGTAATACATATAATTTTGAAAAAGCACTGTAGAAGAAGACATACCGATTGAGTTTCAACTTCCATTTTACAAATGAAGGATGTGTCTGAAAGAATTAGGCACACAGCCTGGATCCTCAGGCTCCTGACGAGTGTCCCTATGGCTGTGACAAACTCTTCAGTGTGTGACCTGGAATAGTGCCCCACTATAGTTTAGAAGGTGCTTCCTGAATCCCCAGCTCTACGGTACTTTGTCTCAGAGAACCGAGTTCTGCAACCCTCCCTCAGACAGTGACACTGCTGGGAGGTCGCATCATCCTGACATTCCCAGGTTCCTCACTCCCACAGTTAGAGGAAACAGTGAGTAATGTGGGGCTGTCTGGGTGAAAAGAATGTGCTCTTGACAAGTTCCCTTCTCAGGGAGAAGGCAGCAGAAGTCCAGCCAATGTGTTGCCTCCAGCCCTCATCCCAGGCACTCAGCAATTGTTCATAATTATGCAGTAAGGAGCACAGGTGTTACACGAACAAGTGCTCGTGCAGTAGTGTGAAAAAGAAAACTGGGTGCTAGCTCTATGCAGTCATGCGGGGGTAGGGGGACAATGAAATTGGTGACTCAGGGTGGTTGGATAGAGGGTGAATTTTTCATTCTGGTGATTGTTTCTTAAAACATTTGCACAATAAACAATGAATCCCAGATGCACAGTGACCTTGGTGGTTGTATTAACCCCCTCTTTTCTTCCTAAGGATTGAAGCCAGTGGTGGAGTCCTTCTTCATCATGATGTTTACCCTTATGATGGTGGCTTATTCGGCCAGTTCTTTGGCTCTGGCCATAGCAGCAGGTCAGAGTGTGGTGTCCGTAGCAACACTTCTCATGACCATCTGCTTCGTGTTTATGATGGTGAGTGGGAACTGCGCTTCTCTGAGAAGTTGTTATTTTTCCTCTTTAATCCTGGCAAGTTCACCTGTCAGGGAAAACCTGCTTTGAGAATCCTTTCAGTGGGACTCTTAGCTTTAAGGAAGCCATGTGTTAAAAGATGGCTTATATTAGAGAGAGTAACAGCTTCTTCTCTACCTTACCCAGCCTTTTTGCTACTGTTCTAAGTATTAGTATAACTTTATTAGTATAACTTTAGTTAACATCTTGACACATATGAGAGTTTCAAAGATGCTTCTTGGTGGCCTATAGTGAAACCTTGGTGACTGGGAACTTCAAAGTCAGAAATATTTCAACTGAAAGATTCCCTCATGGACATGACAGGTTAGTTGCCTGACTTCCATGCTGGGGTTGGAGAACTGCTGGCTTATTTGCCCAGCAGCTGAGATGGTTTGTTTTGATCAAATACTTTCCAAGGGAAAGGCTGAGCTCCATGGGAGAGAGAACAGTGTGTGGCATGGGCGACTGTCTTGGTTCCTCCTATGTTATGAAATTGTTTTAAAAATAGTGAAATATTCCAAAGTCCACACAGTACTAGGCCCCCTCCTTTCTGGGTTCTTGACATTTGCTTATATCAATATATTTCCAATTACCTTTTTTTAACAGTTACTTAGTACTAATCTTCCATGTCCCTAACTTTTGCACACACATAGATTAACAGGTGAAGGAAAGCAGTTAGCACTGTGATTTTCAGCTGGTGTGCCACAAGAAATTTTAAAGCATGCAATACCTGACTATTTAGTCAATGGACTGACCTCTTTTCCCTTAAATTGTCAAATAAGGAAATGGCAACTGCCAATATAACAATTATTGTATCTTGTGAATATATCAAAACTATACCTTTTTTTGTCAGACTGACAAAAAATATATATTGTGGTGTGCTACAGAATTTTAGTCATTAGTTTATGTGTTCCAGGAGATGAAAAAGTTGGAAGTCACCGAGTTAGCACATTTCCCATTCTACATCCACTATACTGGGATTCTTAGCCTGTTTACTTAATATACATGTTGTTTCCATAGATATCTTAAAGGTTTTTAAATAGCACAGTATTTTATTTTTATTCTTTTTAAATTTATTGGCTCTAGAGAAAGAGGGAGGAAGAGAGAGAAACATCGACTTGTTCCGCTTGTTTATGTATTCATTAGTTCCTTGTTGTATGTATCCCGACCAGAGATTGAACTCTCAGTCCTGGTGTATCAGGATGACATTCTAACCAACTGAGCTACCCAGCAAGGCTTGCATAGCACATACTCTTGCTATTGGAAACTAACAATCTAAACATAATTGAAAAACTGATAAACCTTGTGTGAATTTCATATAATGTCATCCAATAAGTTAAATGTCATTCAATATAAAAAAATGTCTTTGGTATTTTAGATCCGCTGATTTGTTTTTATTATTTGGTTTTAAAACCAAAGACATAAAACCATATTTTCCTGAAAGATGTTATATGGTTAACACTTGGTCTAATCAAGTTAAAAAATATGTAGTCACACCAGCATCATTGTCATTGCTATGCCCACCGTAGCATTCTGAGGGCCAGTTAGGGGGCGTTTTGTAGAAACCTCTTCTTTGTAGCCACCTCTTGCTGGAGTGGTCCTTCCTGGGCTCTCCACGGCAATACTGCTTTTGGTCACTTTAGATGAAGGTATGAACCACATGTTATTCTACAGTTTGCCACATTATGTCTAGGACTTGGGTCATTATAAGCATGCATTCTGAACCCCAAATTATTCCTAAAGTCATGTGGAGATAGAACACAAACCCTTGTCCATAACACCACCTACCATGTTACTGAAGTACAGAGGGGCACGAGGTGCTCAGGACATGTTCTGCGTGTCTGTTGGTGGGAACGTGTAGTGGTTGCAGCATTAGAACAGTCAGGACTATGGACATTCCACCGGGTGCCGTTACAGACAAAGGAAAAGCCTCAACAATTAAGGATCTTCTGATTAGATGAAATATGGATATATTGTCATTCCTTTAAAACCACAAACAGCCTGAGCTGTAGAGAGGAATACAGCTATAGAGAAGAATACATACGCAAAGAAGATGTAATAAGTCCTAGGAGGAGCAGAAGGAATTTCGAGAAAGAATTGGCCTTAGCAGAAATGTTTACAAGGTTGTAGGGACTGAAAGAGGGTAACCTCCAGAATTCTTCATGAAATCACTCCACCAGTTCTGATGTTGCATTTGCTCTGTGTAGATTTTTTCAGGGCTGTTGGTCAACCTCCGGACCGTTGCGCCTTGGCTTTCATGGCTTCAGTACCTGAGCATTACTCGATATGGCTATGTGGTAAGTTCTCCTCTTCTGTCCCTGTGACTAGGCCACTGTCCCCATGCTAGGAGCAATCAGAGTAAAGCCTGACCATCTCATGTTCCCAGACATGAGCTGTGGAGGTCTCCCAGGATTTTCCTTTCAGGAGCGGTGAAGGACAGTTTCCTGTTAAGCCTTGGGTGAACTTGGCTTTCCAGCCACTGTTGTGTGAGGGAGGTGAAGGGTGGGGTGATAACTCACAGTTAAGGAGGAAGATTGACCAATTGATTTAGAAAATATAGTTTCAGTTCAGTAAGAAAATACATGAGAAGATGGACATCTAGATTACATATTTTTTCTTGACTACATATTTTATATTGCAAAGGGAATTAGAAAAACTAAGACCACTTCATATTCACAGCCATTATTGGCTTTAGAATCTAGTCTACTCCAATGAAAACTGTGTCTTAGTATAGTATAAGTGAGTTTCAACTCACAAGAATTACAACTGGTTTTGATTTAAACAATGAATAACAATACAAAAGATGTTAGCATAAATTAACAGTAGTCATTGATTGCCATTATATCATTGTAATTATAGTGCTTGGGGTTATAACATTGGGAAGAAAGGATGAAGGTGGTATGGGGTAATGTAGCCAGAGGTCTTCCCCTCTTAGGAAATACTTTACTTCCTGTGTATTGGAAGCCAAAATTCCAACCAAAGGCTTCTTGATTGCCAGGAACAATCATTTTAATTGCTCTGGTGTGATGAAGACTGTGTATGTGAAAATTGTGTTGTTTTCAGATATAACAATAAAGATTAAACTATAAGAATGCAATTGTGATAATTCTTTAGAAACTTTTTGAAATTTAAACTGTTTACCTTGCCTGTTGCCCCTTGTATTATAGGCTTTGCAGCATAATGAATTTATGGGACTAAACTTCTGCCCAGGAGTCAATGTAACAGCAAACAGTACCTGCGGCTTTACAATGTAAGTTTGCTTTCAGCATCAGTGTGGATTTGCTTAATGTGTGGCAGGATGGAAGAAGGCCACTGGGCTTAGCTTATGAGTCAGTCCTTTCAGGGACAGTGACTTCTCTAAGCCTAACGGGTCTTATCTGTAAAGTAAGGTGTGCACTAAAGCATATGAAATACAACATCCAGTCTACTATGGTCAAAATTGTATTTAAGTGGGAAAATATTTCTTATGTGCTGTTTGTTTGGGGACTTTTAAAAGATCCTTTTGCTGTTTTGCTTGTGAGTATGAAATTTCATTTTCAGAACATTTGCTTTGTAATCAGTTGCCTTGATATTTTAGCAAGGCATACAGTATCTGTACTGCTGGATTATGCGAAGTGTATGGGTCCATCAACTTCTGGCTTCCTGTGAGCCCAACCCATGGCCAGGAGTGAGAGGTGGAGGGTGGCAAAATTGGAAAGACAGTGAATATTTTCCTGCCACCATCATGGCACTTGTTTCTTGCTCCTGTACTTAAGAGACATCATGAAATCAAACCACGCACCGGTTTTGGTTTTGTTTCCTGAATTGACTTGGACTACTGCCAATGGAAGTATCCTCCACAGAAATTAACACATGGTTTAGTAAGCTTAAAAGAAATCCCCTCTTTGGCATTATGTCAATAAAACAGAAATGCAGATTTTAATAAAATTAGAGAATGTTTTTAAAAAATTAAATGACACTTTCTTCTTTTCTTTCTTTTTTTAAAATTGTTGTTCAATTATAGTGGTCCCAATATTTTCCCTGTTGCTCTCCCCTGCCCTGTCCACCCCCTTCCAATGCCCACAGTCAATTTCCACCCTGTTGTCCATGTCCATGGGTCCTTTATAGATGTTCCTTGACTTGCCCCTTCCCCTTCTTTACCCTGCTATGCTCCTGTCCCTGCCCCTCTAGTCATTGTCAGATTGTTCTTTATTTCCATGTCTCTGATTCATTTTGATCACTCGTTTGTTTTGTTGATTAAGTTCCACTTATAGGTGAGATCATATGGTATTTGTCTTTCACCATCTGGCTTATATCACTTAGCATAATGCTATCTATTTCCATCCATGCCGTTGTGAAGGGTAGGAATTCCTTCATTCTTTCTGCTGCATAGTATCCCACTGTGTAAATGTACCACTGTTTTCTTGATCCACTCAATTTCTGATGGGCACTTAGGCTGTTCCCAGCACTTGGCTATTGTAAATAATGCTGCTATGAACATTGATGTACTTAGGCTCTTTTGAATTGGTGTTTCAGGATTCTTAGGATATAATGCCAGTTGTGGGATCACTGGATCAAAAGGCAGTTCCATCTTTAGTTTTTTGAGGAAATTCCATACTGTTTTCCACAGTGGCTGCACCAGTCTGCATTCCCACCAATAGGGCACTAAGGGTTCCTTTTCTCCACAACCTCACCAGCACTTATTGTTTGTTAATTTCTTAATGATGGCCATTCTGATCAGTGTGAAGTGGTATCTCATTCTGTTTTCAATTGGTTTGTCTCTGATAACTAATGATGCTGAGCATCCTGTTATATGTTTCTGGATCCTCTGTATGTCCTCCTTGGAGAAGTGTCTGTGCAGGTCCTATGCCCATTTTTAGTTGGACTGTTTGTCTTCCTAGTGTGGAGTCATGTGAGTTCTTTATAGATTTTGGAGATCAAACCTTTGTCTGAGGTATCATTGACAATTGTGTTTTCCCATATGGTTGGTTCTCTTTTTATTTTAATATTGTTTTCTTTAGCTTCGCAGAAGCTTTTTATTTTGATGAGATCCCATTTGTTTATTCTTTCCTTTATGTCCCTTGCTCTAGGGGACATATCAGTAAAAATGTTGCTGCATGAAATATCTGAGATTTTCCTGACAATGTTCTCCTCTAGGACTTTAATGCTGTCACAGCTTATATTTAAGTATTTTATCCACCTTGAATTTATTTTGGTGTATGGTATAAGTTGGTGCTCAAGTTTCATTTTTTTGCATGTAGCTATCCAGTTCTCCCAGCATCATTTGTTAAAGAGCCTATTTTTACTCCATTTTATGTTGCTGCCCCCTTTGTCAAATATTAATTAACTGTAGAGATGTGGATTCATTTCTGGGCTCTCTGTTCTGTTCTGCTGCTCTTTGTGCCTGTTTTTATGCCAGGACCAGGCTGTTTTGATTACAGTGGTCTTGTAATCAAGGGATTAGGATACAGCTTTTGTAATATAGCTTGGTATCAGGTATTGTGATCCCTCCCACTTTGTTCTTCTTTTCTCAGAATTGCAGCTGCTATTCAGGGTCATTTATGGTTCCATATAAATTTTTGAAGTGTTTGTTCTATGTCCGTGGAATATGTCATTGGAACTTTAATAGGTGTTGCATTGAATGTGTAAATTGCTTTGGGTAGTTATGGACATTTTGATGATTTTTTTAAAAATATTGTATTTATTTATCTTTAGAGGGGAAGGGAAGGAGAGAGGGGGAGAAATATCAATGCATGGTTGCCTCTTGTGCGTCCCCTGCTGGGAACTGGCCTGCAATCAGGCATGTGCCCTGACTGGGAATCGAACTGTGATCCTTTGGTTCTCAGGCCCACGCTCAATCCACTGAGCTACACCAGCCAGGGCTGATGATGTTAATTCTTCCAATCCATGAACAACGTATATGTTTCCATTTGTTTTTGTCTTCCTTGATTTCTTTCTTCAGTGTTGTGTAGTTTTCTGCATATAGGTCTTTTACCTCCTTGGTTAGGTTTATTCCTAGGTATTTTATTTTTCTTTTCACTATGTTGAATGGGATTTTTTTCTTGATTTCTGCTTTTGCTGTTTCATTGTTGGTATACAAAAATGCCTTTGATTTCTGGATATTGACTTCGTATCCCACTGTTTTGACAAATTCATTTATTAGGTTGAGCAGTTTTTTGGTAGAGTCTATAGGATTTTCTATGTAAACTATCATGTCATCTGTAAACAGTGACAGTTTTGTTTCCTCCTTTCTGATTTGGATGCCTTTTATTTCTTTTTCTTGTCTGATCACTGTGGCTAAAACTTCCAATACTAATTGAATAGAAGTGGCAAAAGTGAACAACCTTGTCTTGTTCCTGATCTTAGTGGAAAAGATTTTAATTTTTGCCCATTGAGTATGATGTTGGCTGTAGGTCTCTCATATATGGCCATTATTATATTAAGGAATTCTCCCTCTATTCCCACTTTCCTGATCATATATGGCTGATCGTATACGATCGTATATACTCCCACTTTACTTTATCATATATGGGTGTTGTACCTTATCAAAAGTGTTTTCTGCATCAATTGATATTATCGTGTGATTTTTGTCTTTGCTTTTGTTTATGTGATGTATTACATTTACTTATTTGCGACTATTGACCAATCTTGCATCCCTGGGATGAATGCCACTTGGTCATGGTGTAGGATCTTTTTGATATATTGTTGGATGCGGTTTGCCAATATTTTGCTGAGGATTTCAGCATCTATGTTCATCAGCAATATTGGCCTGAAGTTTTCTTTCTTTGTTGTGTCTTTATCTGGTTTTGGGATTAGAATACTGGTGGCTTCATAAAAAGAGTTTGAGAGTTTTCCATCATTTTGGATTTTTTGGAATAGTCTGTGAAGAATAGGGGCTAGCTCTTTCTTAAATGCTTTGTAGAATTCTCCTTTGAAACCATCTGGTGCACAGCTTTTGTGCTTCAGGAGTTTTTTGATTACTGCTTCAATTTCTTTTGCTGTTATTGGTCTGTTCAGGGTTTCTGCTTCTTCATTGAGTTGTGGAAGATTATATTTTTCTAGAAATTTGTCCATTTCATCTAAGCTTTCAAATTTCTTGGCATACAGTTCTTCATAGTAATTTCGTACAATCCTTTGTATTTCTGTGGTGTCAGTTGTAATCTCTCCTCTTTCATTTCTGATCGTGTTTATTTGGGTCCTCCCTCTTCTTTTCTTGACGAGCCTGCTTAAAGGTTGTCTATTTTGTTTATCTTTTAAAAAACCAGCTCCTAGACTCATTGATCCTTAGAATTTGCTTTTAGTCTCTATGTCATTTAATTCTGCTCTAATCTTGGTTATTTCCTTCCTTCTACTTACATTGGGCTGTCTTTGTTGTTGTTCCTCGAGTTCTTGTAGGCGTAGGGCTAGGTGTTTGTTTGAAATGTTTCTATCTTCTTTAGGTAGGCCTGTATTGCTATGAACTTCCCTCTCAGGACTGCCTTCGCTGTGCCCCTTAAGTTTTGGGTTGTTGTGAGTTCATTTTCATTTGTTTCCAGAAACTTTTTGATTTCTTCCCTAATTTCATTCTTGACCCATTCATTGTTTAATAGCATGCTATTCAATCTCCATAATTTTGAGTGTTTTGGGTTTTTTCCTTTGGGGTTGGTTTCCAGTTTCAGTCCCTTGTGGTTGGAGAAAATGCTTGGTATGGTTTCATTTTTATTTTAATTTGTTGAGGCTTGTTTTGTGTCCTATCATGTGGTCTATCTTTGAAAATATTCCATGTGCATTTGAAAAGAATGCGTATTTAGCTTCTTTGGGATGGAGGGCTCTATATATATCATTTAAGTCCATTTCATTTAGAGCATTGTTCAGTGCCACAATATCTTTGTTGATATTTTGTTTGGGCGATCTGTCCATTTTTGACAGTGGGGTGTTAAAATCCCCTACTATAATTGTGTTGCTTTCAATGTCTGTCTTGAATTCCTCTAAGATTTTCTTTATATATTTGGGTGCTCCTATGTTGGGTGCATATATATTTACAATGTTTATGTCCTTTTGGTGGATTCTTTCCTTGAGCATTATGAAGTGACCTTCTGGGTCTCTCTTTATGGCCCTTTTATTGAAGTCTATTTTGTCTGATATGAGTATTGCTACCCCGGCTTTTTTTTCCTGTCTCTTTGCTTGGAAAATTTGTTTCTAGCCCTTTAATTTTAGTTTGTGTAGGTCTTTTGTCCTGAGGTGGGTCTCTTGTAGGGCAGAATATGTGTGGGTCATGCTTTCTTACCCATT